AAAAAAAAAAAAAAAAACCACAACGACAAACTCCAACTGTTATCAGAACAGCTGGCGACCCAGCATACCACTCCAGCTCCTTGGTATTTTTCCTCTCACAGCCTTCAAACACAACACAGCAACAGCTGCTTGTGGGAAGGACTGACCGGCCTGCAAACAACAACATCACTGCAGCTCCTCTGAGTCATTGTGTATCGATTTCTGATACGGGAGGATAACAATGCTGGAGATTTCAGTGTGTGCACGTGTCAAAGATCCATCAGTGTGTGTGGAAAAGATGGGGAATCTGGACGCTTTTTGAATGATTTATTGTGACTTCCCAAATCAACATTAAGCAGAAACAGATTAAGATGAACTGCAGACAACGTATGTCCATTTTACAGCCTTTTCTGGATTTGGTAAAGACGAAGATGAAGGAGAAAGCTGTAAAATTCCCAGACAGTGAGAGGATTCTTCCATCTTACATGTGTTAAGCAGGGCCTATTACACCATGAACAGATCTTTTAAAGCAGGCTGTTAATACTGCATGAGATTGAGAGAGTTACTTCATTAAACCGCCACATATGGCTTTTCCCTTTATTCGCCCTTGTCTTTATGAGTTGATTAGCATTTAAGTAAGTTACACCAAGTTGAAGCTCGGTTGAGCCTTGTTGCCGTTTAGCCTCCACGACAGTGTACATGCGGCCATCTGGGTCTCAGGTTAAATCTAATATGGCATACAAGACAATAAAGACATTTCTGTCTTGCCAACTAATTGCCTAAACCCAAACTCATGACATTAAAATACATTGCTACTGTCCATGACTTCAGAGTACATTTTCCTCCCTTCCCACCAAACTTCAAAGAGGGGAAGAAAGACTTGGCTATGTGCAGCCAGCAGGCCCTAGACAGCACCCTAGGCACATGACAAGGTTAGCTATCCCTGAAAACAGAGTGCTACTTCATCCACTTGTCCTTTTTCCATCCTTACCAGGAGCCATGTGACAGCAGGGTGTTGACCCTGTTGCAAACTTCTTATTTGGCCACACAAACGTGATGTTAACGTCACGTGCCGGCAGGACTATCACAAAAATAAATAAATAAAGTGATAAATAACCCGACGCTCCACCGCCAAGTCAAGAGGCAACAAGAGCTGCACTGAGGAAGGCAGACACCTACAGTCACAGTTTGATTGATCAGAGGTAACGCTTGACTCTGGGTCAAGATATTCTGGGCTGAGGAGAAAAAGGCAAAACCTATATTTAATAAAATGATTAGGAAAGAGTGTTTTTTCCTACAGCAGAAAACTAGAGCACATAGCTGCTGAGCTTGCTTTACAGAATGTAATGTGAATACTTTCCTACCACTGACGCACAGTACTGTATGTACCACAGGACCAGGTGTTTCTACAACTCATGCCTTCAGAATCATATGAACATTTGTTTCACGTTTTATAATATAGATGAACTGAAATAGGAAAATGCTCATTTTAATTTGTAATATTTAACTACTTAGTGCTGCAACTAAGCATTATTTTCATTAGGCCGATCATTTTCATTCATATCTATTATTTCTTCATATTTTCTCAGACTCGATTAGTTGTTTGGTTCATAAAATGTCACAAAACGGTGAAAAACGTTGAGGACCGTTTACCAAAGCCCAAGAGAACATCCTCAAATGTCTTGTTTTGTTCACAAACTCAAAGACGTACAGTTTATTCATTGAGAAATAAAGAAACCACCCAAAGATATTCACATCTGAGAAGCTGAAATCAGAAATCTGGACTCAAAGCTGTTGATCAGTTATCAAAAGAGTTGGTTATTAACAACTAAATCAATGATTCAACCAATCGCTGCGGCTTTAAAATGAATGTTGCTTCATATTAGAGCTTGCAACAATTAAAGAAAATGACTCTGCAAGAATTTTGATGATTAAGGCTTTTTTTTTTTAAAAAACACCAACGGGTTCCAGCATGTCAGAGTGAGGATTTGCTGTCATTAGTCATATGAAAGAATCAATTGAATGTCTTTGGGTTTAGGCAGTTTGGTGGGAAAACACAAACAAACTGCAGGCATCACTGTGGGCACTTGGCATTAGCTCAACACTGAACGGTGAAAACAGAGGCTACTTTGATAACTGATCTACAGACATGGATAGTGTGCGCTGTGCTGTGAACGCATTCTCCTCCTGCCTTTGTCCACAGGGCTTCTGGGCAGAACGCTGCCGATACTCCCTGCTAGGAGAAGGACGCTCTCAGTGTTGAGCTGTCAGAGATAATGTGCAGCCACTCTCCCTCGCTCCACTTTTATAACCGCTTCTCAAGAGCTAACGTTGATGGACCATAAAATCCAATCTGTAAACTGTGACCACTTCAAGGGTCCTATAGTTAATAGTAAACTCCTTGTTAATAAAACAGAGAAGACTAACTTTTACAAGAGTGTCGCCTTCACTTGTTAAGCCTGCTTATATATTTTAATTGTTTACAAGCTGAGCAAAGTTTCCACAATGGAAACCTAATAGAATATGTGCTTCTAACGCAAATAAAGTGGATAAGGACAGCTCAAGGATGATATACTGCGTGTTTATGTTCAACTCCAAAGCCTGAGCAGCAGGTGTCTAGGCAAACACCAACAGAGCAAAAACTCCAGAAGGCTGATAACAGGACAGAAAGCAGAGCGAGTAACTGGGGAAAGGGTTAAGGAGACAAACATGTGGGTTTAGATGATCTTTTGCCTTGGAACCCCCACAGACGGCATTATGTGGTCTTTGTTCCTTGGGGAGCACACGGGAGCAGGAAATGTCTCAGTTTCAGTTGAGCCAGCTCTTTCAGCTGCAGCGGAATATTGCAGACTACGTTCAGAAGCAGATCTGGCTTTTGCAGGGATTTGGCCCTTACAGAGATGCCACGAATGGGGGGGGAGGTTCATGGGCATATCCCTTTCAGCCCCCCCCCCCCCAACACAAAAAGGAAAAGCAGGGGGAAGTAGAAGGGGGGGCTTGGGGGGGGG